CAAAGTGGGTTCCTCGTCATCGAAGTAGATAATGTTTCATCCTAGTTCATCACTCCTTAACATGTCCATATACGTTATAATGATTAGATCTGGTTAATTACTCTTTCACATTCAATTATATAATAGGGCTTAGACATTTGTTTACTCTATACTATGTCACACATAGTAAGTGTTTAGTTGTGGCTACTTACTCTGTAACATGTACTTATAGTAGATAATGTTAAATCTTATTTCCTTGCTCCTTAACATGCACATATAGCTAATAATGTTAAGACAATTCTGGGGCTAATCCATGCAAGTAAGTTTTATAACCTGTCATGTTCTGGGGGCATTTCACATTATTGCTGGCTGTTTTTTTTTGACATGATTTCATCGTACCCATGGATTGGTTCCATTGTCTTCCATGGCTAGTCTTCCATTGTTCCTCTTCCTTTTGTTGCTTTGCCACACCTTTCATTCCTAACCTTCCTCTATTGCTCAGCCCTGGCTATCTATGCTCTCAGTCAGGACTAGTCTTGCACTTCCCTTCTTCATCCTAGCCAATCTTTCCTTCCTTCATTCATATTTCTTGGCTGGAGACCTTGTAGGGTCCCTTTGGAGGCCCTTTACAAACATTCCCAACCTTTTTTCTATTACTCCATCTCCTTGCATCTCGGCCCTTTCTTCCCTTTCCCAACTTTCCATCCCTTCTGATCCACTGTTAGATATTGCTCTTTCCTTGAGATATGACATCCCTTTATCTTTGCATGTTTGATTTGTTTGGTCCACCTCCCTTGTTATATAACTGTCCCTTTGTCCCAATCTTGTCACCCATGTACCACTTCTGTGTGCTAATGTATGAAGTGTACTTATCACCAAGGTCTCATTGTCACCATTTCCTTTGACTTCATTACATTATAACATATTTTTACACTGTCATGGGATGTTTCTTACGTGAACTGCGTGTTTATTCTATCTCAGGTTTTCAGGTAGCCTTTCCTTCACCTTCCGCCTTTTCCAATGTCACGGAATAATTTCTTCTCTGGCTTTTTCCATACTCTCATTCATTCCTTTCTTATCCACTTCCCCACCTGATTGAATTATTACTGTAGATCTCCATGCTCTTCCCCAGGTTGCTGTTGAACCTCTAACAGATGTTTCTGCTCTCCCTAGATATATTAGTCCTTTTCCTACTTGCCATTGTTCACATATATTTGCCACTCTTTTCTCCTTCTTTCTCATTCTAGCACTTCCCTTCTTCATCTTAGCCAGTTTTCCTTCCTTCGTATTCCTTGGCTAGAGACAGTGGTCACTCCCTTTTTCCTATGTTCTCTCCTTCTGTTTCTCTTTTTGGTGTTAATTTTGATCTGGACAGATGCTTTTGTTCTGTACAGGCCACTCAGTGTTTTGTCACACTCTTCCTCTTTGTGGTTACCTTCACTGTCCTTTCATACATGGGACTCATCCTTTATCTGGGGGCTCTCTCCTTTCCCCATTACAGGTTGGACCCACCAGAACAAAAGTCTCGTATATGCTCCTCTGAAGGCTTATGATTGTATGTTTTCTCAATTCTCCTCTCTTCAGTTTTCTCTAACCCTTCTCTTTTTTTCTAGGCTGTCATGCAGACTACCCCACATTCATTCATCTCACATTAAAATTTCTCCACCATCTGGCTCTCTTGTCTCCAGTAGCATACAGACTTTCACCAATGGTCATTCTTCAACTGACCCTGCACCCATAATGGGTGTGAGTATTCATTTACATATTTTTCCTCACCCTTTTTTCTACATTTAGATCCCACCAGTAGCTGGTGTTGCTTCACAGGGTATACTTACCCAAAATTACACATCAGGCCAAGATAAACACCTTTCAGGCTTCTCATCTCTTTCAATCCTTCACTCGGGCAAAGAGTATGCCCTAGATGAGATGATATGCAGTTTCCCATGGGTGTGCCCCTATGGTGCTCCTGCCATAGGGTGTTGCACCTCATGGGCTTCCTTTTGATGCTCTTGAAAGGAGGATCATCTAGGTAACTTTTGCACCAGCCCTTCCACCATTTCAACATGGGATTCTAGCTAATCTGTGCATGGAGATGAATAATTGTATTGGAAGTTAACATTTTCCTTGACTAAAAGTGTATTTCCAATAGATACTCACCTCAATACACATTTCCACTCTTCCTTCCCAATTTCCTGGTGCACTTCTATTGGTTGCTTAATCAAAGAATAAAGAATTTTGTGCCTGAATATAGAGGGGGGCATGTGATGAATTCCTATTGGTTGGAGGGTTTTGATGCATGATGCACCTTTCTTACAAAGTACTCATTTATTGTAATTTAGTTGAAAAGGTTTGTGCTGTCATGTATATATAAATATATATATTTTCATTATTAGTGGTTTAATTTGCACTCTAATTATGACTTGAATATTTTTGCATGTGTATTGAGAAAGCCATTCAGTTCTACAATGCTGTTGTGTTTTAGTGTAATTGAACTATAATTATGGTATTTGTGTTAGAGGGTTTTGTTTGTTTTTTTCATTTTATATTGCATTGTTCATATGTATTGAGTATTCATCTATGTTTAAAGGGTTTTCACTTAATTACTTCCATAGGCAATCTGTATTAAAGTTGATTAATTATGTACCTCTATGCATTTGTATATTAATGCTGGTTAGATATCTAAATTGGCTCATTTTCTTTATTGAAGAGTATTTTATGTAGAAGGGTTTATTTTTCAAGTTATGTATTATTCTTTGTTAAAAAAAATGTCTTTGTTTATAGGGTTTATAGTTGTGTGGCATTCATTGTTTAAGGGCATTCAGGTGTTGCATCTTTGTATCACTTATTTTTAATCTTTGTTCAAGGGTAATGATGTTTATGTGACATGTTTTTAGAAGACTGAAAGATTTAACAAAGTTCTTGACCCATGCAATTTTAAAGCTGATTGGTAGGAAAATTAAAGCCAGTTGTTGGCTTGGGACAAACCTGAAGTTGGAAAGACAGGAAAATATGGTATTTGAATATTCCATGTGTTTCTATCTTCTTGTACTGTTATTATATTTATTTTGAATTGATTCTTTATTGTGAATATATGCAAGTTTTCACATAACATGTGGTTGAGGAAACTGTCAAGTTGATCTTGTTTCAAGTTACTTTTACTTCTTTGTTATTTTTGAAATAGGTAACACCTGTTACTGCCTGTGAAGAACATTACTTAATATGACCTTGTGTAACAACCTTCAAAGATTGTTAAGATAATATTTAAAGGATACAGTCCAACTATGTGTAATAAGAATGATCAGTCACTTGGTCGAGCTTGTTGCTTTGGATAAATGTGATGTTTATTGAAAAAACTATGAACCATTTATTTGGCAGTCTGGTAGATGATCTTGATGTGAGAAAACATCTTGTGAAAGCAATCATCTAACATATGTAAGTATCTTGCAAGTACACATACACACACCATGTTTGTGCTTTACACTTAATAAAGATTGTTTATTTTGTTTTGTTTTTTACTTGTGTCAAGTCTCATTATTCTACTTAACTTCAACACAGTTAAGTAAGAGTTTCTGTAACATTCTATTATTCATATCCTGATTGAATCTCCAAACAACAAAGTTGGCTTTCCACTTCTGTTGCATCATTAATATAAATTCTTTTCGTGATCTGACTATGGCAAAAAAATAAAATATATTGTTTTTTTCCTGTACTTCTTACATGTATGTGTGCAATAATATGACAAGCTTTATTCTAACTTTTCATTCTTTCTCTCTCTTAGTTGGAATCCCCCTTCTAATTTTCTTTTTTGCTGCCACCCCTTACAAAAGAGGATTTTTCTGTGATGATGATTCAATTCGCTACCCATATAAAGACTCTACTATTTCTAATGTGACACTGTATTGTGTGGGTGTTTTAGGTCCTGCTATTGTAGTAAGTATTAAAATTGTGCTTAATTTTTGTAGTTTCTGATCATTGTAATTCATTTTATCCATAGAAATACTAAACCATCTTAAAACTAAAAATGCATATGGATTTTTATCTTTTTGCAACATTTCCAAACAGTGATGAAAATTATATTACATACTGACTTTTGACTGAATGATCTTGGCTTTGACAATTAAGAACTTGATGATTTATGGAACATACTGTTCATTTAGTTTAATTGAATATTTAGCACTTTTACACTTGATCAATAGTATGAATTGTTTATGTTGTGGTTTGGGAATATGAGCTAGATTATTGTAAACAAATTTTACTGAATATATAAATGTTAAAAGTTGTACATTTCACATTTTAACTGTTAATGATTGGAAGGTTATTAATTAGAGCTTGGCAATTAACTAATTAATGAATATAGTTGATTATCTATGAACATCAATTTATGTCAATTAAAATAGTAAACTGAAATTACAATTCAATTAATGTCAGGAAAATAATCAATGAATAAAAATTAGTGTTTCTGATATGTACTGCTTTTTAATTATTCTGTTATTCTCATTATTACTTTAAATTAATTCAAAGTTATTCAGTTTGATCAATTAGTGTTATACTTACAAAAATAATTAATGAATTGAAATTGTGGTTTCTTATTATTACCTGATTAGTCTGACTATCCAAGTCAAAGAATATCCATGTCTCTTTAGTTGAATGTAATTTATTATCAAATTACAACAAGTGCAAAGCTCTATTAGAAAGTGGTTGAAAAAATAAAGACTACAAGTATGGTTTCTAATTTATATTTCACTTTTAGATATTTCTTCTATCCAGATTTAGCCAGATGAATGGCATGAATAATTTTTACCACAGTACAAACTGATCTTTTGTTTTATACTTCATATGGAAATTTTATATTTACTCTGGCTTTAGGAAAAACATATTTTTAAAATATTTTTTGACTTGTGTCAATGAAGAGAAAACAGATATAAATTTAAAAGTAATTTTGATATTTCAGTTAATACGTCATTCTTATTTCATATCATGTTTTGGGGAGACAATAAAATCAATGTTTTATACACATCTAGTGTATTTGAAATAACTAAGAAAGTTTGAGTTAACTAATTAACATGGTTTAAATTGCTGTTTTTCAGATGACGGTTGCAGAAGCTGTTATCTGCAAGAAATATAAACTTTCATACAAACAACCAAAAGTTATATGCGGCTTTTCCATTTCATGTTTTGTGTGGCAAGTGTATCGCACTGTGGGTGTTTTTGCATTTGGAGCCTGTATTTCACAACTATCAACAGACATTGCCAAGTATAGCATTGGTCGCCTACGACCACACTTTATTGATGTGTGTCAGCCAGACATGTCTTTAACAGACTGTAACCATAGCTACATTACAGAATATAGGTGCACAGGAAGTGATGAAAATAAGATTCGCGAAGCTCGGTATGTTTAACAAACTGTCATAAAGCTCTAGGGTTAAACTTATCTGTTACCTAAAACTAATTTGATGATAGTTTTTGTTATTTTTGCCTTTAGATTTCTCTGGTTATAATATAAATTTAAGTTGCTAGTCTCCTATTTTCTACATTTTAGTGCCATTCACAAGATAAATTTAGTTTAGTTTAATTGTTTACTGTAAAACAATTATTAAGGTAGAAGTGCATGTACTTTTAATGCTGTTAACTGCTTTTGTTTAGCAACTAACTGTCAGTATGCAGAAATTAAAAGTGTTGCCAACAAATAACTACAAAGTTTCTCACAGCAAATTCACTAGTCATTTAATGAGTTAAGCATTTAAAAAAAATTGGTTTAAAAATGAATTATGATTTAGGGTTTATGTATAATGTAATAGATGTAGGTTTGAGAACTGACTGCAGCTGCCTGTTGAAAGAAAAGGAGACAGTGTTTTGGCTTCTTTACTGAGACCTGAAGAATGCCTCAGAATAGAAGTGAAAACATCGTCTCTGTTTCTTTCAATAGGCAGTTGCAGTCCATTAAACTTCTCAAACTTACTATGTCTACTCTGCCTAAAGCTCCACTGAAATAACATAATGTATTAAATGTTGAAAAGAAACTGATCTTAAAAGAAGTATTAAAATAAACAAATTAACAAAAAAAATAGTTTTGAATAAAAATGATGAAATTCTTAATGCTAGTAGTATGATTATTAAATAGTTTGCTTTCTGAAGGTGTATGAAAGTTGAGAAACTCTGTAGCATTTTGGTATATAAACATTTTCAGTTGTTTCATTCTTAAAAGTATTTCAAATTTGTGTTAATGTTTCATGAATATTTGCCAAAAGGCTAAATGTGAAGTACAGTTGTAAGAAATTTTCGCCCTACTGGAAATAAAAGAAAGTTTCACACACTACACTTATAATAATCATACTTATATTTAACAAATTATTAGATTGTTTTAATACAGTAACAGTTGTTACCCAATCTAGCTAGAGTGCTGGACCACTGTACTTTCTTTTAATGTAAATTAATGTTCTAAATGTTCTGTTTTAAGTCAACTTTAAATCTATGGTTGACATTATAAATTTTGACAATTATTGGTGTAATTATCAAAAATTATTTTTTTTTTTTTACATTTGTGTATGATATTCATTATCTTGCTTGTTAAACCCAAAATACTCTTGTATTTTATTTAAGGTTATGTGATTTACATTTTTACCTAGTAAACAAATAAATAACTCATGGGAAAAGTTGACGTTACATTACTTGCTCTTTATTTTCTTGTCCCCCAGTGGATCAGTGGTAAGTTTACAGACTTACAATGCTAAATTCTGGGGTTCAATTTCCCATGGTAGACACAGCAGATAGTCCAATATGGATTTGCTTTGAAACAAACAAACTTTGTTTTCTTACCCTTCTTGTTTGAAAGTCAAAGCCACAATATAAATTTCTATAATTTCACTGAGAAGTTAAAAAAAAATTTTTTTCACAATTTCAGATCTTTTTTTTAAGTATGTTTTTCTTTTCCCTCAAAATCTTAATCTTCTAACTCATTAGGAGATATATTAAATCTCAATATAACATTTAAAAAGAAGGTACAGAGTATTACTATTGTACATTTCTTGATTCTTAAGATACATTTTGGGTTGATATCAGTTGAATATGAAAGTTTGTATGTCTACTAGTTTTCATGTAGTTACTTTAAAATTGGACTATAATATGTGTGTATGTTTAATACATAACATTATCACCAGTTTGTTGTAAAGGGCATTATTAATAAACAAAATTTATGTTTAATTTTTTTTTGTTTTAGATTATCTTTCCCCTCAGGTCATGCTTCCTTCTCAGCTTATTCAATGGTTTATCTGGCAGTAAGTATCTATACGTTGTTTCTTTTTAACTAAGTAAGTTTATATGATAAAGAGCATGTACAGGTTTACTTTGTCCTAAACTTAAAAGAATTTTAACAGTGATTTGATTATATATTTATATGCCACTGTAGTTGAAATTGTAGCCACAATGTTTTCTTTTATTATTAAAAATATTTGGGATATATAGTTAAAAGTTGTATTGTTGAAGCATGGAAAAAATGTTACAAACTAGCTGAATAGTCATAAAACATTTGAAAAAAAAAATATATATATATATATATATATATAAATAAAATAACATTATTGTGGAACAAACAATTTGTGTTTGATTCAAGAAAACCAAACTTCTCTTCTTGCAACAGATATACATCCAGTATAGATTGATATGTGCAAAAAACAGTTTGCTTAAACCATTTCTGCAGGCAGCTGTGCTCTTGGCTGCTTGGTATACTGGACTTTCTCGGGTAGTGGACCACAAACACCACTGGAGTGATGTTTTGTCTGGATTCCTTCTTGGGATAATTGTCTCACTCCTAGTAGTATGTATACGCTTAAATTTCTATAGTTTGTTTAGTTCTCAAGCCTTATTTATATTTGTTATTAATATTTTTTAAACTGAATTATATATCTAAAACTTAACAATATTACTTGTTCGTATTTTTGAAAAAGATTTTCACATTACCATCAGATACGGTATAGTTTAGTGTGTGTTTATATAACAGCTTTTATACTCTTTCATCATGAAAGATGATTAAAATTATCTACTTTCTCAGCCAGCTCTAGCATCCATGGTTTGTTCATCTTTCCTTACAGTAATGTGTACTGGGAAATAGATAATGTAATGCTACAAAACTCATACCATTATTAGCAGAAAACTGTAGTTCAGGCTGTATCAGTCTCTTTAGAAATGGTAAGAAATGTCACTCAGCAAAACTTTATAAGGCTTTATATGAATTATCGATTTTGTTATCCCTATGTGCTCATGCCACAACCTTTTTACAGAGTGCCATTCAACATGGTATTATGTATTTGATATCAGAGTTATCATCTATTCATTTTATCCTACATTGCTAATTTAGAGAGAATTTGTGGTAGAGGAGAGGAAATACTAGATACAACATTCAGGAATACTGTGAAGAAAATTGTAGATATGTATTTCAGAGGTTATAGAGATTATACAATTGCAGTATGCAAACTGTGCAATGGACAAAAGTATTTTTATTCTTCATAATAAATACTTTTGTAACACATCTGATTTTTGTGTAAAATAAACTTGAACATTTTACTTAAAGCTTGCCACATTTCATGTTAATACACGTAGTAAAGTTGGAATTATAGTCAACATACTTTCTCCAATACAGAATAGGTCCATTAGACCAACCTTATGAACATTTAGTTGATGTGGTTTAACATGTTTCATATTACTAGTTGTAGCAGTAAAAATAGTATAAACTTGAGTGTAGTAAAACTTCCTATAGATGTACATACTTAACTAATGTGATATAAAGATTTTGTTGATGAATGATATCCAAAGCTTCCATTTACCTGAGTTGATATGACTCAAAATTGAAATTTTATCTGGTCTTGTTATAGGTTTTCTTACTTACGGTAATTTATTTCACTTTACAAAGATATTGTATATTTTCAAGACCGTATGATAGCTATTCATAGTTTACTAGTAATATCATGTAGATACTTTAAAATGTCTTGGAACAGCAGTTCTCAAACTTTAGTAAGCTGAGGACCTCTTTTAATTTCAAAATTTTTTGTGAACCTCCAAACCTGTTGAGGTTTTTCATTTTGAAAAAAATGATTCTGTGAGCATGAAAAGCTGTATTACAAAATTAAATGTTTTAATCCATATAAATTTAATTTTAGAAAAACTATTTTTTATTCTATAAATCATATTTTTATTAAATTTTCAGACATAACTTGTTGACCTTTCAAAGTACCTTCATGGACCCCTGACTGTACTTCTGTCACATCTATAAAACTTTTATGTCACTAGTACTAAATACTATACACCTTAAAAATCTTATAGTGTTCCTAGTAATGTAAACAACCCTTGTTATACTATCGTTAATTGGTTCATACTCAAGACAACCCCTACTAATCTAATATTCTAGTAATTTTTTAACACTGTATTTTTCTGAGCTGTATTATTATTGGAAGAGAAGTAAATCAGTAATGTTTAATAATCTATCTCTAGGTGTTCTTCATTGCAGACTTGAAGAAGCCTGCAGCAGCATTTGATGACAGCAGAACATTCTTAACCCCAGATGCATCTAACACTTATGGAGGAGAGGTGCAGCTAGAGAGTCAGACTAATTAGTCTACCTTTTAACTGAGATGCTGTTAAGTTTTAAGAAAGTAGTGTAAATGTTGATTTGACAAGAGTAATAATTATTCTTAAGTCATAAAACATTTACTTTTATTATTGAATCTAAACACGAATGCCTAGTTTAGAAAAAGAAAGGACACATTTGGTAAACTGTTATTTTTGTCAATCTTATTAAATCAGTGAGATTACTCGTACTTTACCATGTTCATTCCTTGGACCAGTCAACTTTAAAATCTCTTTTTGAAGGGATCATAGTTGTCATCCATATTTGTTAAGAGATAGTGATGTTGCAATCAAAGTGTACTTTACAACTAGCATCTGGAACAAAGTGATATAGTTTGCTGAAGTAACAAGTTAAACTTCTATCTTTGAAAACAAAAATATTGATTAGTTTTAAATACTTAAATATTTATTTATTTTTCTTCAAAAATGCAATGTTTGATGACTTTATAGTAATTTGTCTGTAAATGTTCATATAAGGCCAGACTTTTTCTTTTAATTGATTAACAAGAAGTACCTGTAAAGCTTTGGAGTAGCAGGAAGAGATAAAAAGAATAATCTGGAAAATGATGAGTGGATAACAAATAAAAAGGAGAATAACAAAAAGTTTTTTCACTCACACAGAAGATACAATATTCAAACAATGACCAACACTTTAATTTCAGTAAACACCAGAATATATTCACCATAAAGTTTATTCCCTTTTCTTAATTTTCAATGCATGCCTTTTCATCACTTCTTACCAGAATAGAATCACTTACTGCATACTGAACAAATAATTCCAAATTGTTCTTTCTGGTCTAGATTCTTGCATTCGTGTATACATCAAAGACAGCATTTATTGTTGTAATTTTCATAACTGACAGCCAGTCTTTGTGTGCATGGATTCAAACGCACTTTCAAAATTTTATATCTTAATGCCTTCAATACAAAAAAATGGCATGCTAAGAGTTGTTGTGAAATTTTCATTGTTTTAATTTTCCCCATGTTATAAATATTCTTTCAACATAATTTATTTTATCTTTAAAACACATAAATGGAATTCTGCTGTAGCATAAATTGAAGATCATAGCTGTGCCAAGGAAACTTGATCAAACGTTTTTGGTAAAATTTTGTAGTTCACATGAATTAAAGTTTGATATCTTATTTATGAACAGAATAAAAGTTTTGGAGCAGTGGACTGAATAATAATAAATTGTAATGAAAACTTCCATATTTTATTTCAGTTTTGTAAAACATGATAGAGTTTGTGCATTTGTAAACTAATTAATAGAAAAAAGTGTGGCCTAATATGATTCCTTTTTTTTAATAGTATGAATGATTGAAAAATATTAGGGTTTCAATTGACTTGTAATTTAATTGAAAATAGCTAAGGTAATGTTATTAGCTTTTTTGATTGAATTCAAAGTATAGGAGACTGAATGGTCTATTTAGTTAGTGCTTTGCATAAAGTTCTCTGTAGTGCAATTATGGGTAAGTTTAGACAGAATTATAGCAAAAATAATGAAGTACTTAAAAAGTTTACTAAATGCTATACTTTCAACATTAACTTTACTCCTTAGACTGTAGTTAAAGAATTTAGATCACAAAACAATCATCAAAATTAGATTACCATTAAATGAAACAATTTTTCATGATTACTTTATCTTTTTTTTTGGTCATTTGTCCCTCAGTAGGACTGTAGTTAAATTACAGTCTTACAACACTAAGATCCTGAGTTTGATTCTCTACAGTGGACACAGCAGATAAGTCCAATGTGTTTTTTGTTCTAAAACAAACAAATTCTTTTTTTCTTCTTCTTCTGGAGTCATGAAAGGGAAATACCAGCTAAGTATACTTTATTGAAAATTGTTTAGGAAAATTTACAATTTTTTTCCATTTCAAAGAGTTCAGTGTTTAAATGGTATTGCCCGCAAAAGAGGAACTAGGCTTGTAGTCTGACAACTATTACATCATCTAAACGTTTTGCCTCTGTGTTCCAATCCATGATTTGTTATTTTTGGCTCATATTTCCGTCTGTCTTTTGCTGTTAAAATTCTTTTGTTATACCTCTGTATTTCATTCATTGTGGGATTTACTGTTTAATTTGCTTGTTTTTAGTTTTGGCAAATTTAGTATGATTTGATTAAATTCAAAGTGGAGAAAAAGTCCAGCATGACTTGCAGGTATTAAACACAAATGTTGCAAACCTTTAAATATTTGTTCATGTCATAACCTGAAATATGGTTAAATAAAAAGTAGATGTGGAAATGCGACAAATTACAATACACACTACACAATTTTTACAGAAGCCATTTGGGATTACTTTTTAGATCAGAGTTGATTTTTTTATTCAATACAGACATATTAGAAGATCCAATAATCCTTGAATACAATCTGGTTTGACTGACTGGGATTCTGTTCATTCTTTCATTCCTTGTAGGTGTTTTGGTAAAAAACTAGGGATGTTCAAGAGGTCAGCAGATTACTCTTTGCCCCACTCATGGTTAGAAGGGTTTAATAAAACACTATAAGAAAAAATAAACACAAACCACCTCGAGCAAGATGAAATGAGAGTCTTCAGCATTAACTCAGTCTTTTTTTACTACTGTACTATCATGCCATCATGAGTAGGAAAGGCCAGGCAACTGCATGCAATGGTGAGAATGAGATCAGGCATGCTGCACCAAAGGGAATCAGGTAGTGCATCAAGCAGTATTTATTCATATAATTTGCAAAGATACATATAACATGCTATACATGGCATCAAATTACATAATTTTTCCCATTATATTACATAATTATAACAATTTAAAAATTCCTAAGTTTAGAAATACTGAAAAAAATTGAAAATACGCAAATGTAAAAAGGAAAAAACGTGTACCACAGAACAATGTCCATTTGGATACATATGAAGGTGCATTGCACTACCTCATACGTTTTATATTTAAGATGTGATAATACCAGAAGTACTTTATCAGAACAAAAGGGTGTTGCAAACCATATTACACTATATATAACATTTGAAGTTTATGAAAACACAATACTAAGAATTATTCACTACAAAATGCTATTTATATTCAAGAATACAAATACCAGATTATTGTACATTGGAGCAACAGCATGTTGCAATGCATAAAATTCTGTGTCATCATCAGAAAGCTATAGCTTGACAAGCTCCTCATCTGCAGAGTCAATTGCAGTAAATGTGGCATATGCTAATGCAGATAATCAGAATCTTTAACCTCATGTTGAAGTTTAGTATAAATTGATGAGAGATTTTTTAGTTTTTGTTGGGTTTCTTTATCGTTGCTTTCAAGTGTATCTTAACTGTTCTTTTCCTACTCATTGTCATAACTACACAGTACAGCAGATTGAGATGGTGGTCATTAAGGCACCTGATATAGTGTTTGACCTGGACACACTATCACTGGACAGATGTCTGCTCATTAAACTTAAACTTCTCGTATAGTAGCACTAGAATAAGTAATATAAGAATTAATTACCGTTGTGATAAAATGTGACAGGGAATTTCTTATGGTGATGAGCAAATACTTGTCAGTGATTGAACTATGATATTATCAGTTTCTTCATGGTTCTTATTCTGTCAAAGTTATTGTCACACATCACTTTTAGAGTTTTAGAAATGTTCAAATGTGTAACAGCTCTGAAAATTATTTCTGAAAAGATTTATTTCTGTTGTTTACCTTTGAGTAATATTATGTATTACTTTAGACTTAAGGTAGTACTGACCCTTAAAACTGGGCAAGTTTACATGCTGAGGAAACACTGTTAAACACTTCTTGTAACCTTCAAGTTGAGCACAAAACAAAAGTATGATGTTGCAATCTCTGAAAGTACACTTTCAGTCATATATATAATTAATGCAGCATAGATAAAGAAATACATAACATAAACTGTTTTAACACCATAACTTTGCCTAGGAATTGGTTAATTTATTAGCATGATAACTTTACTATTAAAGCCAGTATCAGCATGAAATTTATCACACTTGTTGATATTACACTCTTCCATAGTTTGAAGTTTTAAAATTGAAAAGTCTTTACCAATTGTCTTGTTATAAGTCTAATTACCACTAATGAAGGCATTAATTAAAATAAACTGCCACAACTCATTAATGTTGCAGAAAATTTGCAAAGTTTTTAATTCAAGCCATGAGGATGTTCACAAAGAGCATGTGTATAAGTTTTCACATTTCTATCATTACGAAGTACAGTTATGGTGTTAAAACAACTTATGTATTTCTTTATCCTTGCTGCATTAATTATACATATGACATACATGACTGTAAGTGTACTTTCAGAGGTTACATCGTACTTTTGTTTTGTGCTCAACTTGAAGGTTATAAGAAGTGTTTAACGGTGTTTCCTCAGCACGTAAGTTTGCCCAGTTTTAAGGGTCAGTGCTACCTTTAATTCACTGAATGGTCATTTTCCTATCCTTCACCTTTTTCAGCACAAATAATTTCTTCACCATTGTTGCATTTTTCTGTGCCTTCTTTCTTTGCTTTTCAGTCAACTGACGCACTTCTTTGAAACATTGATTAACTAGTACTTTTTTTGTTTTGTTTTTTGCCATAGCTGTAATTTGTTGTTATAGTTTCATCATCATCATGTGTTACTGGAAATTATAGTTTCATTATGTCAAGCATGGATTGATGTTTAGGTACTCAACTCAAAATCCTCATCACATTGAACATGCTAACCCTTTCAGACATGGAGATGTTACAATGTTATGGTCAATCCCACTATTTATTACCAAAGAGTAGCCCATTAGTGGGCAGTGGGTGGTGATGACTAGCTGCCTTCCCTCTAATCTATCACTGCTAAATTAGAGATGGCTAGCACAGATAGCCCTTCAAAACAAACCAGATTATCATCTCACATAAAATCAGTTTAGTTTTCCATAACTTCAGTTTGAAAATAATGTGTAACTAACTAATATCTTGAAAACAAAATAAGAAAGAAGTTGTTTTTCTGATGTTTTAAGTGGTGCAGATACAGGCTGACAAAGTACAATATATCACCATAGCCAGATGTTGGCCTTTCATTAATAACAATAGTCAAGGCTATGTTGAAGTGGCTTATGTAATGTATTGTGTATTTGCAAATGTTTACTTTTACTGTCACTAGACTGCTGGCTTCATCCCCAGAGGCTTCTTAAAATATCTTTTCCTATTTGTAAAAAG